GGTCCTTGCAGCGGCGCCACACTTCTTCCAAGGCGGGCTTTGCCACCTCAAGGTGAACAGGGAACACAACTGTGAGGGGACATGAGGGGACGCATGGCAGACTTTCGCCAAGATGGTTTGACAACTGAACTGTGGACTTTCAGGTTGGGAACAATCTTGGTGAGCCTCTGGCGCCCGTCAGCAAACAACATGCCTTGCATCCCGCTAGCTTTGTTCGGCCACGTTCCTGGAAACTCAAGTTTTGGGGAACCGCCACCTGCAACTCCACCTCCAAGCGATTGCGCTCATGTGTGGCCTGCTTGGCCTCTTGCTGCAGGCGCAGCTGCTCAGAATGGAGCTGGGCGAGCTCCTTCCTGAGTCTCTCAGCAGCCATCTCCCCGGCACTTTGTTTCTGCAACTGCTCGTCCCGCCAGCGCCGCTGCGCGGCGCATTGCTCCGCCAAGTCGGACGCGAGCTTCCGGAGGTTTCCAAGCTCCAACTCCACGTCCGTCTTGGCGCCCACGGCTCCCTTCAACTCCGCCTCCATGCGCTCTTTCTGTGCCTTGGACGCCTCAGCGGCTTCCAGCTCGGTCCGGTGGCGCTGCTCCTCTGCTTGCAACCTATCCTTCAAGAGCCAGACCTCCTTCGTCTTCTCATCCAACTGGGCCTGCAAATCGGATCCCTCCCTCCGGCAGCGCTCCAGCTTGGAGCTCAGCGTCGCAAGCTCTTCTTCGTACCTGGCCCTCTTGCCCACCTGTTCCCTCAGTCGCGTTTCAGACTGCTGCGCCACCTCCCGCTCCTCGGCCAAGGAACCCTGCAATTCCTGCACATCCGAACGCTTGGACACCACCACTTTCTCCACGGCAGAGACATCCTCCTGACCACGGCGCACCTCCTCTTGCACCTTCTGCATCTTGGCCTTCTCGGCAACTAGCCTCTCTTGCAATTCCTTGGACTTCTCGGCGGCTTGCCTTCCAATATCCTCAGGGTCTGGGAAGGTACGAAGGCCTGTCCCAATTTTCCCAACATGGGTGGGAAACAACACCACGACGCGAATGTGGCGCCTGCGCCGCTTGGAAGTCGTCCAAGATGCCCTTTCGCTGTGCCTCCGCGACTTCCAACTGATGCGTCAGCTCCTCGCTCTCAGACTTCAGAAAGCGCTGTTCCTGAACTGCTTCTTGGAGAAAAGCTATTGTCAAGAAGGCAAATGGAAAAGGATGAATTCGCTTTAAGCTTGTTGGCTGTAATTGCTGGCATGATCTCTTCCGAGGGTTTCAAATACCTGACCCCGGAGCCCCTAATCAAAAGTGCTAGTGCTAACGTGATGTCCTTGCATCGACACTGTCGGTGTCGTCATTATCAACCTTTGTACACTGCCAAATCCCAATGTACATGCTGGCCGACGCACATTTACAGGGGATATCTGACTGCGCGCAAAGCTTCCTCCACCTCTGGCAATCTGAGGGAGCTCCCCTTACTCAAATCGGACATATCAAGGATTGCGTTTCAAGAGCCCCATGATGCTCACTTCCTGAGTGGATGGCCCAAAAAAGTACCCACGCTTATTGTTTTCCAGTATAATGGTCCAAACCCAAAAAGTGAGTAACGTCTATGAACTAATCCAAGGATAGGCATGTTAATTGAAGAAGCCACGTCGCACTCGCATTAATGCAGGAGAAAGCCATGTCGCACCTGTGGATTTGCCCAGGGGATAGGTGGCAATTAAATTGTGGACCCCCAAGGGGGCTATGGGGGGGTTATCCCTTATTAATCCCATAATAAGGCCTTATTGAGGGCTTATCCTTGGCTTATCCTCGGGGTAGCACCCCACCCCATAGCCCACCCTACAGTTCCATGATTAAGGAAGTGAGGATCCTCCATTTGCTTAAGCCCACTTCAAAAAATACAAATGTTTCCAGTGGTGCCCGCTTCCCTCTATCAGGGGATTCTCAACCAAAAAACAACACATTTTTCCAGTAGTGACAGATTCCCTCCAACGCCAACAAGGGATTTTGTTGTTTTATATTTTATATATAAAAACACGGAGAACAACACATATCTTAAACAAATGGAAGGGATGATTGTCCACGACTTTTGTCCAAGGCTCCGAGGTGCTTCGGCCCATGGCCTCGGCGGCGGATCGCTCCTGGCCAGCCTCTGCCTGGCATCGCTCCTGCAGCCGCGCGCACTGGCGCTCATAGGTGGCCTAGCCGCCGACAAAAACCACACGGCCGAAGGTAAAAGCGGAGAACCAGGCCATCCATCTCATTGAGATACTTCTTAAGCTCCTTGAACTCAAAATATCTCAACTGATGGTTTCTTGCGCCCACTCCCTTGGAACACATGGGCATTCCTTTGCCCGCAGCAGCCCAGCCCAACTGCTGTGTAGGAGGCAGTGTTGGACACAGCTAAAACATAAACTGGGGAGCAAAACAAACTACGAAAGTGTTCGTAGTCAGTACCATGTTGTACCAATCAAGGCCCTACAAAACCAAATGGCAACCGATAAGCACAACATAGTCTCACTTCCTGCGTGGACTGGCTGGGAAAGTCCAACCTTTTGTCTACCACTAAAATGGTCTTCCAAGAAAAGTTCAGGGAGTGAGTGTTTGGTGGTCTTTTGCGGGGCCCAAAAAAGCCCAACCCAAGACCTCAAAGTATGAGGTCTTGCACCCAGTCCTCAGCGGTGTCCCAACACCCGGGATATTTTTTGGCATGGCGTTTGGACATGGCTCCTTCTTGGGACCCTTAAAAACAAAAAATGAAACAACAAGTGTTTAATCAACTTGCTCCATTCAACTGAAATGAGTCTAAAGGATTTTGATTGGAAAACATTTAGACAAGAAGCAGCAAAAGCAGAACTGCTCGCTTGGCCAGAAGTGTTCTTGTTCTGGCGGCGATGTGGTATGGGTTGGATCTTCAGCTGGCTCTTCCTAGCCAGTTTTTGCATGTTTTACTCACCATCGACCCCACTCCACCCCCCCCTCCCCCCCAGTTTTTACCGGGAAGCCATGAAACCCACTCCCCCTGCCACCCCCTCAGCCCCATCCCCTCAGCCCCACCCCCTCAGCCCCCCCCACCCCCCACCCCCCCGGCCAGCTCCCCGCCTGTGCTGCGGCCAGCGCCCCCACCTCCCCGTGGCGCAGCGCCGCCTTCTGCTCCGCGGCGTGGGCCTCGCTCCGCAGCTCCGCCGCCTCCGCGGCGAAGCCTACGGACGGACGCGAGCGGATGCGGACGGCGGCCGGGCGCCGAAGCCGCCGCAGCCGCCAGGGGAGGGTTGCCATTTTGACCCACAACCGTGCTGGTTGACCCATTTTGAGAAACACCCATGATGGCTGAGCGAAACCTGTTCCGATTCCGTTCGCGCCACGAAATGAAACCATGCTTGGAAGCAAATTGTTGGCATTGGGATTTTACAGGGGAATCGAATCATTCCAGGGTTAGTTAGGTGGCAGGATTTCGTCCATCCACAGCATGATGCTGTCCCAGTCTTTCGTGCACTGTCCAAGTCGCCTAAGTGCTACGTGAAATAGAAACCGCCCCCAGTTTCGTTTCTTCAGCTGCCTCTCTCCAATTGGTGGTTTGGAGCAAAATCGGTGGCTTGGTGAAACGGGGCGGGTTGCCATTCATCTACAAAAGCCTGTTCAAACCCAAACCACCAATCCAAAACACCAACTAAGGGTTCCCTGACCTTTTTGCAACACAAAGCCCAGCAAAGCTGTGCCTCTTCTTTACATCTGTGGCTTGCAGGGCCAAATCAAGAAGGCAAACTACAGGAACAACAGCATTTCCCATACATTGCATTGTGCCATTAATTTTAGAAAACCTGCTTTGGGGGTGGTTTTAAAGCAAAATCAAAGGGACACCCACATTTTGAAGATTTTCCGACAGTTTTTGGCTTGGTTGATTCCATCCTGAGTGGGGAATCCACCAAACCATAAAACAGAGAGTTCCAACTGAACATGTGGGACACGGGTCTAAGCAGACTTGTTGTGTTGCAAAGCCATCACTTGTTGACCTGACGTATGGCTTCGAGACATTCATTGTGGCTTGACTTCGGGAAATGGCAACATAGCAATGGCAGGCAATGTTTGGATGTGTGCCAAGCATCAATCCACTCGCTTTTCGGAAGTTCAGAGTACTTTGGATGGACACAATCCTGCGCCACCTAAGAAGCCCTGGAACGATGACGCCCCTGCAAATACCCACGCAATGGTTTCAAGCATGGTTTCATTTCGGGGTGCGAACGGATTTCGCAACCATCCACAATATGTTCGTGGTTGGCCTCTCCCCTTGAAATGTGCTGCCCTGCATTCAACCCCTCGTCGAAGGTTGGACACTGTTGTTTCCATGCGTCCACCTGCCAAGCGACTGCCAGTTAGCCGACGAGGATCGTAGCGGAGCTCTTGCAGTTGCTTCTCCATGAGCTCATTCTGCAGGACAGTTGCCTTAAGCGTCTCCTCCTCTTTGGCCAACAGCGCAAACAGACTGGAGAAACGCTCGCAAAGCACGTCTGCGCTCTGCTTCGCCTCTGCAGCCGCGGGAAACATGGCAGCCATCTCAGAATGGTGAACAAATTGACTGGTCCATGACATGGATAAGTTAGAGGAACTCGCCCAGCTCTGGATGCAACTGTTAGGTTCCAAACCTTGAGCCAACCAAACGTGAAATGACATGCATAACCCGATATGACTCGATGCAGCTCACATCTCTCGGAACACAATAATGGCTCCACACATGCCACAAATATCCGGGGCAATCCCTGTTCAAATAGGGAATGTGCACCCAACAAGGACAACGTCTTCATCATCTGGCATCTTCTGCCTTTGGCTGTCGCGTGGGATCAGTGTATCGTTGCTGCCTGGCTCATGACCAACTCGACAGCGCGTGACCATGGCCCGCGATCAGGGATACTTGAGTTGCCTTGCGGCAAGCTGCTTGCTGGGAGCCTTGCTCGGTTGCATCCTGTCAGATTCCAACCACCTGAGAGCCAGCTAGTAACTAGCACACATGTTGCTGGCAAGCAGCCGCTGCGAGCACAGCCCTTCTCGCCTTCTCGTTTCGCAACCGACGCTCAGTAAGTTTCCAATGTGACTCGTTTGTTGCGCGGCTTGCGCGGAGTGGTGCAGTCAAAGCCCCGCATGCGGGAAGGGCGGGGGACGGGCGGGGAAGGGTGGGCGGGTGGGGTTGAGAGGGGTTGAGTGGGGTGGAGTGAGGTTGAGTGGGGCGGAGTGGGGTGAGGTGGGTGGGTGAGGGGTTGTGTCTGTGTGTTTGTGTTGTGTTGTGCGTTGCATGTTGTATGCGGTGTGTTGTGTTGTGTGTGGTTGTGTGTGCGTGTGTGCGCGCGCAGCGTGTGTGTGGGGGGATGAAGGTGCCCTACTCGGTAACTCGTCGTGCCAGTCGCCAGTATACTTTCTGCAGGCATTCCCATATTCTCACATTCTAAAAAGATGCCATGTGTCCCAATAGCACACAAACGAGCAAAACATACGGAATAGCACATCGCAGCAACAAAAAGGGATCCAACATCGGCTTTTCAAACACTAGCCCCCAAAGGCCCAAACCTAGCTTCCCAACATAAGCCTCCAGCAAAGCGTGACACAACTGCGAGCCCATGACAGCCGGAAGCCTCGACCGTGGACCCGGGCAGCAACTTGATGCGGACATGTTTGGAGGTTCGAGCAGTCAACTCTCCGTTGCCTACCACTGGAAACTTCCGGATTCGAGCTCAGAGGAGGGCTGCGAAGTCGGAGGTTGGTCCTCAGGTCGGCCCAAAGGGTACGCCCTCGCCTCAACCTCAAACCGTGCTCCATCTCCTGGTTGGGCAGGTGCAGGCTGCTTCTCGAACCGAAATGCCGGGAAAGCTTCAGCCCAATGCTTGGGTAATGCTTTGCACCCGGCCCTTCGCAACTTCAACCTGGTTGCAGCATCATGGCAGTCGAGCCTGGAATGCCTGAGTCTGCGTCGCTGAAGAAAGGCATCAAGGCTCCTGCTTTTCTATGTAGGATGGCGCCAAGCGCTCAAGCACAAGGGAGAGGTCATCTGGCAAATTGGCAGTTGCTTGGAACACCGAATCCTCCGCATCAAGCAGCTGAACTTGCCGACAATGCAAGAAGAGCCGTGGGCAGAAAGGCACCAACGTGTCATGCTTCCTTCCATAGGTCAAGTCACCCACCAGGGGCCGGCCAACACTCGCCATGTGAACTCGGATCTGGTGCGTCCTGCCAGTGCGTGGCTTCACCATGAGCAGCATGATCTCGCCGCTCTCAGCCTCCGGTCGGTACCGGGCTTGCACCCGGTACTCTGTCATGGCCTCCCGCCCGAATTCGTCCGAGACCTCTGTGCGGCTGGCAGCACCGTCCACCTCGACAGTCAGAAGTGGCGCGTCAATCTGAGCCTCGAAGCCCACGGATCCCAGCGCCGGGCCCTCGCAAAGGCAGAGGTACTCTTTCTGCACCAGGCGCCCAGCGAACTGACTGCGCAACCACTTGGCCTCCAGGGACCCTTCACTTCCCACAGCCAAGGGAAGCACTCCGGAGGTAGGATGGTCCAGCCTCCGGGCATCTCAAGTCTCCCTGAAACAAAAAACGCCAAGACATAATGTCATAGGTGTCAAAATCTTCCCATTCGTTAGCATCCAACTGTCAGCATGAAAAAAACAAGATGTCGCTTGGCGAGGCAACCGCCGCTACGAGTCGGTTCGACCCCTGGCCTCGACACCAAGTGCAAGTTGTCCGTCTGTGACCGTAGCTCATCTACCAGCTCTTCGGTTGTGACCTAGCCGGTCTGAAGCCCAGGCTTATCTTCTGGCACTTCTCAAAGGGAGACGACTTTGCAAACGGGGACCTGGGAAGTGTCTGTCCCTTTGCGGTTCTTACTGGCCTCTCGCAGTCGCTCAGAATTCCTGAGAGTCATTTTCAGGCTGCGTTCAGGGCATATTTGGGTCTGTCTCAAAATAAGGTTCCCGTGGAAGTTCCAGGCTGAGTGGTCTTTAACTGGAAACTCCGCCGCTTTGCGACCTGAAAAAAGCCCAAAACGCAGCTTGCATCAAGGAGCTTAAACAAGTCTGAGACAGCCCCGCGAGAAAATACGGGCTCCCTCCCCCCCTTGAGAGCCACGCGCCAGCGGGCTTGAAAACGGCAAGCACGCCTGGTGCTGACCTGAGAACCTCAGCTTGGCAGGCAGCGAGCTTGGTCCGGAAAGCACTCACTCACTCACTCACCCACCCACCCACCCACCCAGCAACCCACCCAGCAACCCACCCAGCAACCCACCCAGCAACCCACCCAGCAACCCACCCAGCAACCCACCCACGCACCCACCCACCCAGCAACCCACCCAGCAACCCACCCACCCACCCACGCACCCACCCACCCACCCACCCAGCAACCCCCCCACCCAGCCACCCAGCAACCCACCCAGCAACCCACCCAGCAACCCACCCAGCAACCCACCCAGCAACCCACCCAGCAACCCACCCAGCAACCCACCCAGCAACCCACCCACGCACCCACCACCCAC